AGGAGTGGAGTTGAGGGGAGGACTTTTGCTTAAATGACTCTTGGTTAGTTATTGGCAGCAGATACAAGGTGCTTAATTAAACTTAGCTCAAGCCTGTCTTTTTAAAACAGACTATTAGAACAGTTTTAGATCTAGAGAATAATGGAGAAGATAGTACAAGTAGTTTCCACATACCCCATGCCCAGTTTCCCCATTATGAAAATATCACACACGATACCTTTGTCGCAATGAACCAGTATTTCATCCAGGATACATTACATTTAGTTTCCATGTCCATAGGGTCTCAAGCCTATTTTTAACATGTATCCTTAAAGATGCTAGAGCAAGGCCTGAGTTACCCTGAAGAAATAAATCAGGGTCAATGAAATACTGAGCTATTCAAAAGTGCCAAGAAGGCACTCAATCTCCTCTCAATCTCCTCTCACCATCTTTTCCAATTAGAACTTAAATTTGATTGGAAAAAGGAGAGAGACGTTTGTTAGTAACTGGAATAGAAACTTTCCTTTGCTTTGTTGGCTAGTCTTGTGCCAAGCCTGAGGAAGGAGACAGTTTAAGATTCACTCAGTCTGTGTAAAAAGTTATATTTTCAGATGTCAAGACTAAGAAGTTGATTTACCAGATCTGTGCCTTTCATGGAAAGATAGCCTTCAATCAGTCTCTTGAAATCATTAAAGAAAAAACTATTCTCAACTCTAAAAATCTTATTTTTGCTTTTAAAGTTGGAACTATAAAATTGCCTAGAATATAAATAGGTTAGAATTCCTTTTACACGTACTCCAAAAAATATTTAGCTAGTGGAAAGCTGTTGGATATGACCAATCCATGGAAATTTTGAATGCCCACGCAAGAGGCTAAATGGAACATGAAACAGAAGTTCTCTGAAAATATATCTTCATAGGTTATCAGTGACTTTCTCATACTATTCTAGACTCAGTATTTAAGGTACTGGAATCTAGCTCTCGGTAATCTGTTCGTAATAGCAAATTCCTACAAAACTACAGTGTAGTGTGCCAAGTACTTGACACGAGACTTACTCATTGGTGCCGCAGGTGAGATCGTGATGAGGAGGCAGGTGAGAAGCAGGAACTGAGGCATCTTTCTGGAACAGCCACCAGAAGCAGACGGGAAAAGTCTCTTAATTCCAGTTTTTCTTTGTCCTCTTCTTTTTCAAGCACTTTAAAAAAAGGCCTCAAGGTTCTTAAGAAGAAAGACTTCTCGGTACTGGTTGGGGCTTTATCAGAGGAAAAGGATGAGTGGGATAAGATATCCATTGCTCTGGCCTTGACCCCAGATGGAAGCACTGCTTTATACTGTCAACACGGTTATTTTATTGATACTTTTCTTTAGGGGGAAAAAAACTCCTCACAATCCCTCATCCTCCTATTGTTTTCACTCAAGAATTCCCTGCAAAGAGGCCTCCAGTATCTTATCCAGAAGGGAACTCTAAATGAGGGACTTCCCCTCACATCAAAATCTTGTTTTGTGACTTCTAGGAATTGATTTCATGATGTTACATTTAGTATACCATTGCACGCTAAATGAGAATGGAATAAAACCAAATTGTAGGAACTGGTCATTAGGAAATGTCTCGGTCAGATGGTCAAGGAGTTTATAAGAGCACACAAAAAAGTAGTAAGGATAAGTGTGGAATGGGGAAGGCTAAAAAGAAGGGTAGGGGAAAGTTTTTGTTTTTAAATATTATATTAAACAAAGATCTGAGCAAAACCAAAACTTTTCTCTCCTAATATTACCTTTGCTTTGAGCTTTTATTCCTATACTTGCACCTGTATTTCTTTTCCCAACAACTAAATTTCTAGTGACTGGGAAAGGAATATTGTTGTCTTTAGGAAGTTTGTTTCAAACGTGCCTTTATAATATCTTAGCACAATTTTTTACTATGCTAAGTGGCATTCAAGTTGTGGCCCCTTTCCTCTAAGGGTTTCAGCTCAATTAAACATTAGTGCTTACTGGGGGCCAGATGCCATATGGTTCATTGGGTTTTGACACTGACTAAGGTAAGTGGTCCCCGCAAGTACAAAGTTTACAGTCTAGCAAGGGATTTCCATTGATCAAAACTCATAGTTAGCTGCTTTATCACTAATGCTAGCAGAACATAGGCCATTTGACCATTAGCTTATTAAGCTGCAATGTGATGGCAGTAATGGATGACCCCGGGACTGAGGAACTGTCTCGCTACAGGGTAGTGCCTCTAAGTGTCAGTGCTCTTAACAGAAAAAACAAAATCCCACAATTTCCTGTCCCCAAGAAGATATCAAGTACTTTGTATGTGTTGCAGAGAGACAGAGGACTCGTGCATGAGATAAACCAAGATTTGCTGCCAGGATTGATTGCCGGAGTCAAGGACTTTTACCAGATAGCCCTTTAGTTCTGTAAACAAGCATTCTCAGGATGGTAGGATTTTTTTTTTCTTATTCCTATTTTTTCCTTTTTAGTTGACCTGCCCTTTCATTTTAACCTTTTATGATGAAAAATTTCAAATATATACAAAAGTAGAAAGAACGATAATGAATATCCAGCTGCAATCATTACTAACATTTTGTCAATCTTCATTTATACACCAGTATGTGTTTCTAACATATGGCCTTTCTTTTTTATATAATCATAATGTCCTTAGTACAACTATAAAAACCAGTAATAATTCTTTATCATCTAATACACATTCCATATTTAAATTTCCCCAATTGTTTAAAAAATGTATTTGTATTGCTGGTTTGAGTAAGTCAGGGTAGGAGCCTATATTGTATGTGGTAATGTCCCTTAAATTCTTTTAATCTTTAATGGTACCCCCATACCCCCATTTGTTGAAGAAACTTAGTCATTGTCCTACTGAATGTCTCCCATTCTGGTTTGGGCTCACTGCTTCTTGTAGTGTCTTTTTGCCTCCTTTCTCCCATATTTGATGTTAACCATTTTTCATATTTTATTTTTCTAAAGTTGGTGCTATTAGAAAGCATAAACAAAAAGCTCTGGTGATACTAAAGTAATTTAATGCATGAGGGGAGTGCTGGAAATAGATCAGTTAGGAGGTGGATAGAGCGGTCTGCTGTTCAGGATAGATCTGAGTGAGAATAGCAGTTTGAAATGTCCCTCAGTATCTTTCTTCCCCTTTTTTATTTTGAAGTCTATTTTGTCTGATATTAGTACTGCTACTCTCGCTTTTCTCTGAATGCCATTTGCTTGAACTATCATTTTCCACCCTTTCACTTTGAATCTACATTTGTCTTTGGAACTGAGATGTGTCTCCTGGAGGCAGCATATGGTTGGGTTTTGTTTTTTGATCCATTTTGCAACTCTGTGCCTTTTTATTGGTGAGTTCAGTCCGTTTACATTTAGGGTGATTATTACAATATGAAGTCTTCTTATAGACATTTTATCTTTTGCTTTCTAGTATGTCAGTGTTTCTATTGCTTCCTTGTCCTTGTGTTTCTGTTTTCTTTATTTTGGTTGGCTTTTGTGGATTTTTGCCTCTGATTCTTCTTGTTTTATGTTATATTTC